ACCATAGCAAGGAGAATTATACAGTGGCCTAAGGACATGGACAGCTCTAATCGCAAATCATGAAAATAACTGGTTTGTGTTTAGACTCTAATAGCTTGAAAGATCCCACTCAGCAAAAGAGAACTAATCCAAGTATATCTGCCATGGCCTTTGTGGCTGAAGGGGTTCAAGGAGTGAGAAACGATAGTGGGAGATTAAGAAAGTCAGACAAAGAAAAAGACAAAGCTGACAGTAAATCTGATAAAGCTGAGGCCAGGTGGAAACCCTTTGTCTTGATGAGACAAAAGGCTTAGCTTGCATCCTCAGCACCTTTATTTATAGTGTGGATAAGGAAAATGAAAGGGAATGCCTGATTGGAACGGGGAGAACGCTAGGGTCTGTGGGGGATAATGCTTGATGTTTCTCTGGTGGATAGGTGGGAGGGATGATAGTCCTCTTAGAGAGAAAAATGGGCGATTCCATGGTGAATATTGGTGTTCTGAGCAGCAACATGGTGGGCCTAACACTCAGGGCTAGCTCACCTGTCCCATATCCTATGCAGTTCTCTGCTATCCTTGCTGGTTCTAAAGCATTTGACTGTGGCAATCTCTTGCTGTTCTATACCTGCAAGCAAGTTAACAGGACATCTGAGAACCATGGCAACCAGCATAAGTGAAAGAAGGAAAATCCCTGAGCACAAGTCTAAAGGGCAGCTGAGGGGCCCGATTGCATCCCTCAGTCAGACACACCAACTCCAACTCAGAACTGTAACATTCAGAATCTACTAAATTTTGAGAAAGTATTTCAGTAAGATATTTAATTTTATACCTCAAAGATCATGCCAACATTGTGGTTCCCGGAAGGAGCAGATTTTGATAATGTGCTTTCCCTTCCACTATGGTGAGATTTCACAAGCTCATGTGGGAAGGAACCCAGCTCTTCCCCCAGCCTACTGTGGCTATAAGGTGCTAGGAGTTTGGAGCAAAAATGTCTGCTTTTATCATCTTGTCGCTACCATTCTGGAGTCGTGTGGCTTTGGGCAAGTTATGAGTCATCTTTTTGCCTATAATAAAATGAGGAAAAGGTAGTACCCAGTCGGAATAAACATTACTTATGTTCTCTGCTTGCTGTACAGCTTTTGAACATATTTCCTATCCTCAGATCATCTCCCACCCAATGAGTCCAGAGAGAACCCAGAAACTGTCCTTCTACCACTCTTGCAGTTAGTTCTGTGGTGGGGTAATGGAACATGGGCTTGGCATTAAGGTCAGGGCTCAGCTATGAGGAGTCATACCAGCCTAACAGTTTGGACTTGATGTGCCTGACTGCTAATTAAATATCCATAAATGTGGATAAAGAAGAGAAACAGGAGGGAGGTGGTGTCAAATGCAGTCAGTGCTGGTGGGGGAAATGGAGAGGAATTTGCCCTCAGTAATGCCATGGTGGGATCCAGCATTATGAAATGAGACACAATTGGACCTGTCTGCAGGGAAATTTGAAGGTTGTTTCCGAAACTTTTACCCCCAAATTCTGACTGTGTGACCCTCCTGGACACTAAATGAGGCAACCAGAGCCTTTATGGAACAACTGCACTGACTGTAATGGCTGTAATTATAGTATTGACTGACTTATTTAGGTCAAGTATGGGTAAGGACTCATTATCCTTGCTGTTTTGGGTTTTTTAAGTATCAATGAGATTCAGTCACAAGATGTGGGAGAATGGATTTTAAATGTTACACAATATTAGTGACACGTGGTTGAGGTTTTAAAACATTTCTGCAAATTCCTCAACATACCTACCATACAAAGTGAAGGCTATACCCCTGTCCTCTCCCCTCAAAATGGAGTTGGCCTTTGTGGCTGCCCCCTTGATTAGAATGCAGAGGTGACACTGTGACTTCTGAGGCTAGATTAGAAAAGGCCATAAAGCTTCATTTTTGGGAATTTGTCTCCATGCTGTGGGGAAGTGAAAGCTATGCAGAGACCACGTGTAGGTCTTTCATGATAGCCTCAGCTGAATCTCAGTCAACAGTGAGAATCAACCCCAAATATATTCTTTGGGTTGAATGTGTTTTTCTTGGTCTTCACGTCAGTCCTGTATAGAAGATATTGTGATTCATTAATGTGTATATGAGGAAGATGTCTGCCTTGATTAGGAGAAACTGCTCCATAAGTTTTCCTAAGGCATCTGGGCCTTGTTTTTGGATCAAAATAGGTGGAGTGGGTTGCTCTTCATGGTGCCTGAAATAAGCCAAAACCTCTCTGAAGGAAGGCTGCAGAAATAACTGCCCCCAGGGGGCCACCATCAGCCATCCACATGAAGGATAAAATGGGGTGGCGTTTTCTATGAGGAGGCCAATGATGCCCTAAGTGTGCAGCCCTCACCATTCACCCTGTAGCAGGAGAGGCTGCTGCAGATTGGCAGATTGTGGGAGGGAGCAATGTGACTGAGGCCTCACGTGCACTTAGCCCACGGTCATCTCTCAGGGAATATTGATCAAAAGTGCTCACCTCTCCGTCTCAGGAGCATAATGCAGTCTGTGAGTATTCAAGGAAAAAAGCTTTTCTTGGCCAGGCTATTTTCTGAAGTCAAAAAGATCCTTTCAGGATCTAGAATGGCAAGCCCTTCCCACTTCACACCCTCAGCAAAAAGCACACTGCTGAGCTCAGACCGCGGGACCACACGCCAAGGCGGAAGCCGACAAGTGGGACCTATTCATACAACACATCCTTTGTCAACTCAGCAACCACCTGACAGGGTGGGGGACATCAATGGAAGATTAAGTCACACCAAGACGCACCCGAAGAACACTCATCTATGTTACAGAATCAGAATCATCCATGCACATGTTGTTTCTCTCTCTTTTTTTTTTAAATTAAGTTTATTGGTACATTTTAGGTATACAGTAAAGTTACACTCATTATTGGGATCTTGTACCTTTACATGACAGGTCTTGGTTCTCCTTTTTCCCCCTTGTCCCTGTGTTGCTGCTCTCATAAAATGATGTTTTAAACAGAATTTCCAATTATATCCATAACATAGCCTGATACCTAAGGCAGCACATCTTGATGAGAATATCGAAAAAAAATCCAATTAAGTGTTTTTCACGTCTGACACGGTAAAAAAGAAAAGAGGTTTCCTAGTTTCTGATTTTTGTTCTATAAAAGGCAAACTCTCCCAAATATTTGTACTTATATCCACCCATGCCTCTAGCATTCCTCTATCATCTACGTATTTTTATTCTAATTAATTAATTAACTTGCAGTGTTGGGGACCGAACCCAGGGCCCTGCACACACCAGGCAAGTGCTCTACCAAGACAAATATTTTTTAATATAACAGCTTATTCTAAGACCCTGATTCTTTTCATCTTATCCAACTTAGGTAATGGGTATCACACGTTGTTAATTTAAAATTCTAACAATAACATGAAGCAAGTTTGCCCATCTTGCTCTCTGGGAGGAGTCTCTCCAGCAGCTCCCCTGGTGTGGCTGGGCCTCGGGTGACTCTGGCAGGCTGGGAAGGATGCCTCAATGTGCCAGACACCTGCATCACTGCCACCAGCTGGTGGCCTATCCTGAGGTCTGGAGGGGACAGGAGCCGCCATAGCAGCACATAAACCCCTGCTCTGCTCAAGGCCGGCTCTCGTGGCATTCAAGGCACTGGCATGGCTGCTTCTCCCTCTGGGGCTCCTGGCACAACACTTTGTCCAGGGGGCAACACATGATTTCGATCAAATTATAGCGAGGGCTTAGGAAGCCGGTTGGTCCTGAATGCAGAGTGAAGCAGCCTTTCGGAGTGAGCTGCCGGCCTGCCTGGGCTCTAGGCTTCACCTCAAGCTCTACTCTTCAGGAAAGACAGGGCAATCCATCTTCTAGAAATGCCCTGCCCAATGGTTTCTGGGGTCACAGCAGTGGAGGTTAATTCCAAGTGTTCTCTGTACTACAGTAGGGTGGGTGAGGCTCCTGGGAAAGCTGGTTCTCATGCCGTGAGCACCCCAGTTGTGCCGTGCCTGGTCTGAATGGCAATGGGATCAAGGTGGCCCCAGGGACCCCTTCACAGTGGCCAAACGGTACATTTCCAACCAATAGTCTAGGTGCTGGTGAGGAACAAGGACGGCAGTTAACTGGACATGTCCCCCAGAAGCAGGGAGCCCAGCTCCCACCTGGAGCTGAACTTTTAGTCCCATGAACCGAGAGCTGACATCTTTAGGCTTTGGTGCTTTTAGCTGTAGACCGTAGCCCTGAATAAGCCAAATATGCACGGGTGAAACTCACTGTGCTCCATTTCCACAATGTTCATATTTTGGCTTGAAAAATGAAATACAGTTAAAACCACATGCATTTATAGAAGAGTAAATGATACCAGTGCTCTGTGACATAAATGGTTTAAATAATCAAAGAAGTCTCAGTGTTGTTTAGACCCAAACACACTGCCCTGACACTACTGGCGATGCATACAGAATGAACTGTTACGTCTGCGGCTCCTCACTGGAAGATAAATAAATAACTGACCTTTTCTTGGGATACTTAGAGAATTATACTGTGGCCAGGGAGTAACTTGATAGTGTTTTTGTTTTAAATTCTGGCACCAGGCAAAGACCAAAGTGGACCTATGACAGCAATGCTTGCAGCAATGGTCCTTTTGGGGGCCACTGAGTTTATTTCCTTCTGGAATTCTGCTGGTCTTACATGACAGGGCCTGGGGTTTGTTGACCTGGTCACCTCTAGGAAATGCAGAGTGGAGCAAGCCCTCCTCCTCTCTTTGCTGTAAGAAAATAAGCTTCTTCACCAGGGTTTCTGTAACAATAGGCTTTGAATTCCAAATAACCAGATCTGAAAAGCATAGCAGAATTATCCCAAGGGGGCTCCCATGGATTGCTCCGCAGCTGAGATGTGAGAGGCAGGGCACAGCCCCGAAGAGCCCCCCTTCCAAGGTATCATCCCCAGGCCCCCACTTCGAGGCCCACCAGCTCCCCTGAGCACTGCAGCGGCTTGGCTCAGGATCCCCAGCCCATCTCTGCAGCTGTGTCCTCTGGGTAGGTAAGGAAAGCAGAGCAGGGGCAACAGAACTGGGAGTGAGATGGGGCAGGAACCCCAGCTTCCTGCACGAGGCTGACGGTCCAGGCTGGGAACCACTGCTACTTGTCACAGAGGCCTGATACTTCCCAAGGAGCACCCTACCAGGAGTGAAGTATTAAAACCATGGCTTTGCTGTTTGTAAGAAATGAGAAAGAAGCCCATTCAGTTCAGACTCGATGTCTGACTCCTGGGAACACCTGGACCGCTCTCCTGAGGCCATGGATCTGTTTTGCAAGTAACAAGTACTTAATGAGCATTTCCTAAATGGACAAATGAGTGATTTCATAAACTTGGCTGCCCAGTGTTATAAGCATTCTTGTGCTGTCTAGAAAGTGGCCAGGACACATGCAGTGGCTGGGCAAGCCTGTAGTGTGATGTCTGGTGTCTCAAGGCAGGACCACAAGCCTGGCCTCATCCGTGACAGCAGGAGGCTACATTACAACTTACTTGTCAGGGCTCACCATGACAAGCCCTATGGGCGTGCATGGGTGGGTCAATGCCATTGGGCCCAGGACCTCTGGTGGCCAGCTTTTAGCAGGCCACATCAGGAACCACGGGGTCAACTTTGCCTATACGTGGTAACTTCGTTGCTCTGGTACCAGATACCACGTTGGACACATTTAGGCTTTGGTTTAAAAAACATTTTTGAACAACTCTATTCAATAAAAATACAAACCACCTTTTTTATTAGATTCCAGGATAAACTTTATTTTCCTACAAACTATGAGACCAACAAAAACATATAGCACCTGAGTGCTGTGTCTCCACTTATTAAATCATCGCAATCAGAACCAAAGGGGGAAGAGGGTGAACTAGAGTCAGGTGGCGTCAGCAGTGAGCCACACGCTGTCCCAGAGCACGGCTGCCTTGGTGGAGTGTGTCCTGTGTCACATACACACACACGCGCACACGCTCATATGTCTGCGGGATGGGTTAGCTGAGAGGGCCTCTACCACCTCAAAAGCCTGCAAGACGTGGAGGGGTAGGGAAATTAAATAATGAGGCAGTAAAACAAGAATCACTATAACCTTAATTTACCATATTTATCAAATTTTCCCCTATTTATACATACTGAACCTAGTATACCTGAAAACACGGGAAACATCCACTTAATGTGAGTGTCATACATAGATACGCAGAGCAGCTATAACTATGGCCATTTTTTTACCGACTGTTCCCTTCAGTAGATATAAAGTACTCAGCTACATACACAACGTCACAGTAAGTGTCAAAGGATTCTTAAACTTTTGCTTGGAACAAACAGATCAGATCAGTGGTGGGTGGAGGTGGCACTGAAATTGACTGGGAAGACAGGGACTTGCATGGCTCTCTGGATCTGTGTGATCTAGTTTGTAAGGCTAAGGGTCCAGTGGATCAACCCACATCACAAGGCAAGGGTCCCCCAGCCACAGCTCTTAGGAGCAGCAGACTTAGCTGCCAAAGACACATGTGACAGCTGCTCTCCTGAGCTACATATTTCTTCATGCTCAAGGCTTGACTATTTTTAAAGTCATCATTTGTGGAATTACTATTTTTTTTTAAGTATAAAAGCTGATAAGTGAGACTCTAAATTCAGATTTGTTCAGATGGAAATCGGGAAACCAGTGTGTGGAGTAGGGGAAGCAGCTGGGCCCTGTGCGAGGCCACGTGTACGACCCTATTTTGGCCCACCGAGGGCTGCTTGTGTTTGCAGTTGCTGACCCATGCCCCACGAAGTGAGGAGGCAGTGTGTGGCTGGGAGGGTCTGAGTGACCCTGGCAATTTTTAAACTAAAAGGCATTTATTAGAGAAAACACAATATTTTCTAACTAGAAAAAAAGAAAAACTTGATCACTTCAATTTTCCACTCCAAATAACAAAAATGACTAAGTCATGCACTGCAAGCAACGAGGCTGCCAGACTCCCTGCTTCCCATTCTGTCTCCAAACCAAAGCTGTTCCTGCAGTGGTGGACTCAGGCTCCCGGCGGAGGACTGCTGGCTGTCATCTGGGGCCGTGGGGTTCCTAACACTACTGGGGATATACTGAACTTGAGTTTTCACTACTTGCAATTGAATTTCCTACTCCAAAGTCAGGAGCACTGGCCAGAGACAAAATAAAGCCCAAATCCCAGGGCATCAACTCTGGCACCAGAGGCTCGATGGGGCTCAGGGGCTGTGTGCTGGTCTAGCACAAGTGAAGGCCCCTGGGTTCTATCTTGGCACCACAGAAAGGAAAATCCTTCCAGTCCTTGACATGCCTCTCCTCCCTCTGCCCTCTTTGCATGAAACCTGTGGATCCATGCTCTCCCGGCAGTCACTTCCTGCCTTTGGGCCCAGGGACAGGTAATGAACTCCATACAGGAACAAGGTCTGGGCACTTTGTAAACATGAAACCAAGCAGACCAGGAATAAGACGAGCTAGTTTAAGTGACACCAGCCAAACCAGTGACCAGAAAGCTCAAGTCAATGAAAAGGGACTGGTGAGAGTAAGATAGGAACACGGCGGGAAAAGCCACCAAAACTGGTCACCTCCCCACACCCTCAGAACACAGCCCCAAGAGATGACAGCCACCTAGAACATCCTGTCTCAAGTGGAACAGCTTTTGTCCCCAAGCCTGAGACAGCTCTGCCTAAAACGTCTGCCTTTCTAACAGGGACTATGTTTGGTTCTTTCCCATGTGTCCCAGAGCACACCTGGCTCCTGAGTTGCCCTTGTCCTGCATGAGTCGCCATCAGTCAAAGAAACTCCATAGTCCCTGGGAACAACCCAGCCCTGCAGAGAAATGGCCATGCTATCCATCACCAGGCAGGCGAGGGTGGCGTTGCAGGTATGTGTAGGGGAGCATGGAGGACAGGAAAGGGGCACAGAATCTACGTCTTAGGGATGCTCGCCTTGGTGTTGGAGAAGCTGCGCTGTGCTGTGCCCAGAATCATCCTTGTCCTGCAGGAGCTCTCTCAAGGACAGGACCCTGGATATTTTTTCTTGTTTTTCTTTTTTTGGTGCTAGGGATCGAACTCCGGACCTTACACTTATGAGGCAGGCAGCGAACCACTGAGCTAAATCCCCAGCAGGACCCTGGATTCTGAGAAAGCTCCAAGTGCTCTGGAGCAGGAGCATGGCTGTCACCCGATCCTGCTGTGCTAGGGGGCTGCAAGCACCAGGTGGAAGAGGTAAACCTTCTCCCTGGTAAGGACCCCCGGGAGAGCCAATTGTCATGATGATGAAATTTCTGAGTAAACCATGATCTTAACACAGGAAGGACAGGTGAGATCCACACACAGGAAATTCTTCCCACAATAATAATGTTTTACTGGCTCCTCTGGGATAGGTGGTTGTGTTTATGAATGGGGGGCCAACTGCCCTCTATCTCCTCCCCAGAAGTAGCCGCCCGTGCCCTGTGGTAGCTGCTTGTCTCTGGTTGTCGTCTTTTTCTTTTTTCTTTGGAAGCCAGAAGTTTGTGAGGTTTCAGGAAAGGAGGACACAGCCTCACCCAGAAGTTCCATGTAATCTTTCGAAGAGTCATGCAGCCATGACATTTCTCGGGGGCCCCAGGACTGGGGGCTTGGGGAGGATGAGGAGTCTGCCTGTCTCCTCCACACCAGGGTTCTCCCGGGTGGCACACAGGCCAGAGGCCACAGCACCTGCAAAGGACGGGAGAGTGGCTGTGGCACAGATTGAAGCAGGATGTTGGCACTCAGTAAAAGGGGAAGCTGTTCGATGTTTCCCCCAGCTGGTGCAGTGCATGCAGAGCTCCTTCCCTGCAACCTAAAAGCTGTGAATCTTTTGGCTGATCAGGAAGTACTGGATGGAGAGAAAAGCATCTGATGACAATGAGAGAGGAACAGCCAGGAAGCAGCGCTGGGCAAAGAAGGGAAAGAGCCAGCGAGACTTTCTGGAAGTGCGTGGTCTCCGCCGGTGACACTGGGATCGCCGTGTTTACAGATGTGATTTTACACCATGCGCTACTACTCCTAGTCCCCAAGGGGCCTACGACTAGAGGTCAGGACTAAATTGCTTGTCTGAATGAGTCTGGATGAACACACAGCCATTGAGTACTGAAGCAGGAATAAAATTAAAATCTGAGCTCTGCACCCTGGAGGTTGGTCCCAGGGCGCCAGGGCCCAGGGGGTGTTCAGGAATGCTGTTGCAATACCCAGCCTTGGTTGCCAGCCACCTCCCCCAGGACCTTGTGATGAAAGCATGGTTTCATCACCTCCCTCTGGCATGGTCCTTCTGCTGAAGACGGGCTTGGGACACCGAGGCTCCCTAATCCTCCATGTGTCAGCCTCTGAAATCGTCACCACAGTCTGCATTTGAAACTGTCAGCAGGTGCTGGTATCCTCAAACAGCATCTTTCCTCCTCTCCTGCCCTTGCCTCCTCTCCTGCCCTTGCCTCACAGCCCAAACTCATGCTCAGAACTGTGCTAGGGCCCGGGAGACAGCGGCCCCAGGTGGTCTCAGCTTCTCCACTCTCTGGCTCCACTGTGTTCCCTCCTAGACTAGGTGAGGCCAGGTGGACAGGACTGGGGTACAGTTCAGTGGGAGATACCCGTCCAAAGGCATGAGGTCCTGGGTTCGACCCCTAGCATGCAAAAACAAACCAAAAAAACAGGTTGCTTTGGACAAAAGGGAGCAGCTAGGCTGTCACTAGAGGCAGGGACAGGGCTATTAAAGGTATCTCCCCATCACTGTGGCAGATGGGTGTGTGTAAGTGACATGGGCCTGAGGGGCTATAGGGACAAAAAACTTGATTTAACCCCAGAAAACACCCAGTTTGTGATTCCACTCAGAGCTGACATCAGAGTCAGTGGGATAAAGAAGGAAAGAGGTTGGTGAAAGGCATACGGTGACATGTTCAAAGACACCAAGTGCAGGCAGACCAGAACCTTGCCCTGCGCCCTGCTCCATCTTGTGACTACCAGGTTTGGGGGCCAAGGCCAGCTGTGTCCCTGTGCCAGGTGGACATGGTGCTGCAGTGAAGGCCCATACACCTGAAGGTGGGGTGCCAGCTGGGGCAAAGGGAAAAGCTACCTTGGAGCCAGGGAGCAACCAGTGCCACCATGCCCAGGCGTCCCTTCAGCCCACACCTTTCTCTGCATTGCTCCGGTATGCCCACTGCACCCATGATAGGTGTTGGGGGGCACGGGGAGAAGGGCTGGGTTGCACCGTCCTTTGGGACATGGGGAACAACGAGGGACACCGTGAGTAGAAACCTTTGCCCCATGATCCTACTGGGAGGGGAGCAAAACCCTGCTCACCCTGACCTGCCTGAGTGACTAGCTGTGTGGCTCCTGTGCTTCTAGAGCTAAGCTTGGCAAGCCTGGTTTGGGACAGTAAGGGGACAGGCAGAGCTACGGTGAGGAGAAGCACAAACAAGGACTGGGCTCAGCCTAGCTGCTGCTCCTCCAGATGTGGGCATGGCAGTGCTTGGTGTACTGGACCAGCCCCAGGCCTAGACGCGTGTCACTTGGGTGCTGGGAGAACACGATGCTCACCTAGCTTTCTCCTCCAAGTGGCAGCACCATCAGTATTTCCAGTGGGTCTCCTCCTGCCCAGGAAGTCTGTACATCTAAGTTTTCAGCCATCTGTGCCAAGGGGCTGCCGTCCTGCTGCAGGCAGGGCTGGACCCCAGGCCCAAGGTCACACCTGTCTCAGCACCTGCCCTATGGATCCTAGACTAATTCTTTGCACCCCCACCCGCCTTTGTCTGCTTATCCTCTCCAGCTGGGCCCCTTGCAGCGCCCCCAGCTGGCCCTCTGGACTACAGGCCACATGTGCCCCATCGTATTAGCCATCTCCAGTCTTTCTCCTCTGGGTGTGGGCAGCACTAAAGGTGGGGCCTGTGCCCATGGGCTCCCTGCATGCCCCCCCAATGGTGGCAACAAAGATATTTCCTGGGGTGGCAGGTGCTGATGTATGGTTCTGCAGAGAGTGCACAAGCAGAAGACAGCAGGTAAGGAAGGCACAGAGCAGAGTGGGCAGGGCCTGGCAAGTGGCAGTGCTGGTGGTGGAGGGGCCGGTAGGGTGGTCACCCTCTCCCCAAAGTGGGTGTCTGGGCAGATCTGAGGAAACGGCAGGCTTACCTTGCTCAGGTACCGTAACAAGACCTCTGTGTATTTTAATCTGCAGGGAAAGAGCATAAATCCAGTGAATAGGAGCGCACCCCAGCCCCAGCCCAGGTGCTGATCAACAGTGATAGGAACACATGGCCGAGCAGCCCTCGGACACCGGGTGGTGCTGACAGCCACATTTCTTCCCGGTGCCCAAGCTTTCCTGATAGATTTGGTCTAAATTATGGTCACAGTTAAGAGGTTTTCAACCCAGCATTTAGAACTCAAAGGATGACCTGGAAAAATCACCAAAAACCCTGAGGATGTCTCCAAGTTTCCCTGGTATCCCTGGGTCCCGGCTGTGCAAGGCCAGAGCTCTGACCAAACCACTTCCCCAGCCCAAGAGTGGGCTTTAACATGACAACGCGGGACAGAGTTTTGAGTTGTACACAGTGTGTCAGTTCAATCCTAGCGTCCCTGCCATGGCATAGTCCCCAGGGAGGGGACACAGCATGCTGTGAGGAAGGTGACCCCATGGTGATGAAGTCAGATTGTGAACTCACTCTCTCACCCCCAGGGGAGCGGGGTCTCAGTGTCTCCATACTGTGTGACAGGTGTCCCCTCCCAAACCCCTTCACTCCAAGCTATGTCCCTGTGGGGTTCCTCATCTGATGTACTGCCTTTCTGGTAGTAGCATCCCACCCCAACCCTCCTGGAATGCGGTGTCACCAGACTACCACAAAGCCTGGAAGAAAGACACTGATCCAGCAGGAGGGGCCCAGTCTCAGCAGGGTCTCTGGGGGGAACGCACACCTCTGTAAAGATTTATTTTCTAATCTACTGATGAAAGAGAACACACCAGCACCACACTTGAAGGAAGATTACGTAGGGTTAGGAATTTCAGTAATAACAGATCCTGGAAGACCTAGAGGAATCTTGTGTCCTACTGGTGTCAACCATGCAGAATGCTGCTTTTTATGGCATGAAAAGCTCTGGACTGGAGTTGGTGTCGGGGAGCAAACTGAGATCCCTGGAGGATGGGTCCCCAAGGCCCTCCTCCAGGGGAGGGGCCTTGGCTTTCCAGAACACCATGCTGCAGACATCCTCCCAAGTGCACAAGGGCTGCTGGGAGCAGGGGCTCCTTGACCTTGCTCCGTGCTGCCCTGGCCTGGTTGTGCTGTATGCCCAGGCCCTGATTGGTGGACACCGAGAAAGCAGATGGTGCACTAACAATGGAGAACTTGTTTGTAATTGCTGATGAGGATGGGCCTGCTCCTCTCCCAAGCGTCCCCAGACACAGCCTGGTTTGGTGTGCTGGGCCACAAAGGGCTCAGCAACTGCCAGGCCATGGCTGAGGACAGAGATGCAAGGCAGAGGCAGCTGGGGCTCCAATGTCACCTGGCCTTGACATGCAAGCAGGAAGCACTCCCACAAGGTGGGGTCCCAGGTACTGGACAGGAGAAGGTGGTCAGCTCCTAGTACATCCCTGAGGGTCAGTGCAAGGCTACAACTACCCTGTGCACCACTGGAGATACTGAGGGAAGATGCCAGTGGCACGTGACACCCTGGGGACAGGGGAGTGCCACCAAGCAGTTCTTTCATCTTTGTATCAGCTGGGCACCTGATGTGTGCCAGGTATGGCTGTAAGGCTCTGGGCTGTCACTGTAACCAGAGTAGGCAGCAGCTCTACTTTTGGATCTGGTGGATGGTGAGGAGTTATACACACAGTTCAGGCAAAAACGTCTTTCTGCTTAAATGTATGAACACAGACTCAGGAAGTGGAAATGAACACAGTATTTCAAGACGCTCCAGGGGAGGGGGACACGTTCGGAAATAACTGTGTCTTGATAGGCTCAAGTGTGTGTGAATGGGAAAAACAAAGTTGAGAGACACTGGGTTGCAGGATTGTATGTGTCATGAAGGTGAAGTCACTCAACCCTGGTGTTAGGCACTGGGAGCAGTGGAGAGAATCCAACAGTTTCACTCTAACACCCAAACCATCTGAGGCCAGGCAGCAGCTCAGACACATAGTTCCTGGGGATCCAGAAGTCACTTTTAAAGAAAGCGGTCTCCTCAGGCCTTGTGTGATGCCTTTGATGCTCTGGATTTACAGAAACTCAGGGAACAATGGCCCGGTGGAGATGGGCTGTGTTCTCGAAGCTCTGTCTAGCTGGTACTCTGAGACCTGTGTGTCTTTCTGCGTGTTTTTTCTCCAGCTGCATTCACTGGGACAGCAGAGGAGCAAGGTGAGAAGTGAGCATCCTAACTTGGAGGAAAGCTGCCCGCAGGATGGTCACCTGGGATGACGCTGGCCAGGGTCAGACAAGAGACTGTGCAACCAGTGACACTGGTTTGGGGTAATCAGGAAGGATGCTGATGTGGAGGGTTGGCACAGGTGTGGAGAGACACAGCGACCAGGGCTGCAGCTTTTGCAAGTGCTAACTGTTCTAGCAGCAGGAAGGCAGGCCGAGCAGGATCAGAGCTGCCTGAGATATTCAGACCCTTGGAATGGTTCGAGGAAGGAACAGGTGCAGTCAGTAGTGGGTGAGCCTACACTAGCGGTCTCACCGGCAGCCCAGGGCCAGTGGGGATGTGCCAGCCTAATTAACATCTCCAAATGGCCTGATGATGGCTTCCAGTGCTTCCTGTCCAGCAGTGGTGGCTTGTGATGGCCTGGCCCTAGTTCTGGGCTTGGCTTCCTGTTTGGTCGCTGGCCTTGTCCATCAACTGTTGTTCTACAGCAGAAAGCTAGGGCAGCTGGACCACCAGGAAGGGAGGGAGTGGGGTGGGCAGGTGATTGCCTATGTGCGTGTGCCAACGCAGGGCTGACAGCAGTGAGAAATTCTCAGGAAAACATTTCTGCGCTTTTTCTTTTCCCCAACTGTAATGTACTTTTAAGATGTATGACAGGCATGGTGGCACATGCCTGTAATCCTACCACTTAGAAGGCCGAAGCAGGACAACTGCTACAAATTGGAGCCAGTCTGGGCTAAATAATGAGTTTAAGGCTAGCCTGAACTACATAGTGAGACCCTGTCTCAAAAAACCAAAAACAGCTGTGACTAAATTATACATTTAAAATTAGTATCTTAGTGACAATCTTCATGGTTGATCACCATGGAGAGGTCTGTAGACATTCTTGGCTCACACAGAACATGAGTACCAAGCTTTCAGTTCTGTAGCCATGGTAGATGCCAAAGTCACCAGACTGAAGCCACTGCAGCAAGCAGCAGGATGGTGTCTGATGTGCCTGGCAGTGATGTGTCCAACCGCACCAAGGTGGGGACAGTACCAATGTCCCTCACAGACAGATGGACAACTTATGAAACCTGCTGCCTCATGGTTGACACTTGGGAAAACACTAGGGGACAGCAGCAGTCACCAAGGTCACAGGCTGCACAATTCTACTCGTACAAAATGCCCAGAATAGGTGGTTCAAGGAGAAGATGTTTCACTTCTGTCACAGAAAGGACTGCTCCTGCCACCCGGGCACTGGCTTCCTGGTCTTGTGCTCCTTGGCAGGCAGGCACTGGCAGGTGGGGGCCATGTGTGGAAAGGGGCCGCAGGGAACAGAAAGACCTAAGCAAATGTGAGTGCCTCCTGATGAAGCCACCTTCCTCTGATCCTCAGCTGTCACAGAGGTCACCACACTCCCCTGGGGGTGGAGACAGTGCAGAGAGCAGTCACCATCCTTAGCTGTCCTGGAGACTGGGTTATTCACCCTTCAAGCGTGGAGCAGGCCAAGCCTCACCGGTCTGCCATCTAGTTTTCTGACCAGCACGCGTCACAGCCTCTGGGTCCTGTGTGAGCTTGTGAGGCCTGAGGAGAGGTGGGACCTGCTGTGGCATACACAGAAATGCCACCACATGTTGTCACCTGGGCTGAGGACGTCACAGGGGCCTCAGCTCCCCATGCACAGCATTCAGGGAGGTCACCTCCTCACTGCCGCAGCATCTGGAGTGGCACAGGTGCAAGACCTCTTCTATCCTGTCCCTTGTTGTCATGATACATTCTCCCCACAGAGGCCAGAGGGATCTCTCTCTCTCCCTCTCTCTCTGTCCCTCCCTCCCGCTCTGTCTTTCTCTCTCTCTACCGGAGATCAAACTTCTTGTGAGTCAGGCAGTGGCACCACTGAGCTAAATCCCTGGGCCAAGAGGGACCTTTCTGAGTGAGTCGAAGCGCGTCACCCCACTGCTCCCACCCCTGCCCAGCTTGTTAGGGCATCATCCGGAATCCCTCCTCCTGGTGTGCCCTGCTCTGACCATTCAGAGCTCCTCACAGGAGGCTCCTGCCCTGGGTCTTTGCCCTTGAGCCCTCCATACTCGGTTCCCTTTCTCATCTCCTTCCCGTCTTTCTCAGATGCCACCTTCTCCTCAGGGACTTTCCTCACCCCCTAGTTTAAAATGCTTGCCTACTCCAGGCTGTGTTTCCTTAGGACCTTCCCTGACCTGACTGCAGACTCTTTTCCTCTACCCCGATCCAGGAGGAGGGAGGCAGAGAAAGAAGCCATGGAGCCACATCTCTGGTTATAATTTGACCTACACAGGAAGTGTGTGTGGAATGACTGCTCAAAGCCCCAGCTCATAGGGCTTGTGGGGTGCTCTGTAGTCCCCTGAGGCTCAGCACCCAGCCACGGTATGGGACAGAGGCAGTCCAGTGCCTGAGCCTCCCTCCCTCCTCTGTGGGGCCCTTTCCTCCGGCCACCCACTCACTTCATGCCTCAGGTCTGCTGTCTGCCCGGTTATACCTGGCTGGCTGGGCACCAACTATAGCTACATTGTCTCTCCTGGGACACCGTACTGCCCAGCACACGGGGACAGCCACACAGGGCACCACTGGCCAGTGGCTCTGGTCTCCCTGAGGTCAGGGCTCTGGAAGTAGGAACCTCACAGACTACCCAGTCCTGCTCAGGTCAGATACTGGGGACAGTTGTGGCCACATGAAGACAGGATGACTCCAGTGGGGGGCACAGGTAGGTAGAACTCACCCCTTGGGACTATACTGACTCAGATTCTGCTCTGGGCCTGTCTCTTGTGTCTGTCGGTCTGTCTCTTCTCTCTCCCCACTGGGCAA